TACATGAAGAAGAGCACAGTATCAGTGAGCATTGCTGGGTTAAATGCATCTTTGTTACCATTTCTGTGACAAGTAGAAATGACACGGCTTTCCAAACGCAAGTTATTCTTGATGTGAAACTGTAAATAACGTGCTGTACACAGGTGTTTGCCTACTCTTTAAACATTGAATGGAGTACATTTACGATGCCTTGGCAGTCAGACTTACACCGACTGTTGGCTTACTGTCACCATTATTTACTAATTACATTACTTCTGTCCTGGAGTCCTTGCAATGCTTTCCAATCAGGTTTTGTGTCGACTTCAAAATCCTCACACTCACCTATAAGGCTGTACACACTTTGTCAACTCAGTACCTATCTGACTTACTGTATCTTCCTACTCCCAACATCACAACCTTCATTCGTCTGACTGATCTCCTGTTCATCCCACAAGCCCGTCTACATATTATGTGTTACAGGGCCTTCTCTTATGACACCTCAAAGCTCTGGAATTCCATCCCTAAGGGTATCGCAGAGTCATCTATATTGAGCACTTTCAAATCCAGAGTGAAAACCTTCTTCTTTAGAAGTTTTACTCAATCGGATCTGTTTGCCTCTTGAATCTTCTCCTGTGTTCTAAACCTTGTTTTCTATTAATGCTGATTTAGTACCTCTTCTCTTCGATAAACATTTTTCTGTTACTGTAAAGTGCTTTGAGAAGTTATAAAGACAACATAAAAGTATTAATAATCATTATTCTAAGTATTATTAACCCTCTAATGTGGGCATGATTTTAGCTCTTTAATAATGCCGGCAGCCTTTGCAGCTAAAACCATCTATTTCTACTCTGCAGTCCAGCTGGCTTTTCTTGTATCTGCAAGATAAATTGGGTGGATTTAAAAAGAATTAAGACTCATCATAGGAGAGCATAGGCAGAAGCAGTTTTTAAACGGCAACAGATGTTTGTTTCTATTCCAACCAAAAAAGAAAAATACAAAAGGCTGAGGACTGTATCAAATTTATTCCTTGTAAATGCATTTTTTGTGTACAGAAACAGCATTAAATACAAGAAATCTAATTTCTGATAAACAAAAATCACATTGCTATACACTCTCTCAAATATAGGCAGCAGACAAGAAAAAAGTGTTTGGGTTCTGGAGATGTCTGAAGGATTATACTAACAGGGAAACTCAGGTCAACTTATTAACAAGAAGGTGGATCCTCCTGAGCCATCAGACTGTCTTTCATGTGCCTGGATGGGAGGGAGTCCACTGGCAAACCCAGCGGTACAAAGATCTCTCACCTAGTTCTTTTTGAGTCAAGAATCAGTGTGATTTTTTCCCCTTTTTTTTTGAGGGGGTTCCTTAAAAATTACTTTGCTTTTTTTACTTGTTAAAAAAAACAACTGTAAAGTCAGAAAGTGCAGTAAATATAATGTCAAGCTAAGAGGACTGGGCAACCAGGTTAATACAAACAACAAACCTGCAAAGAGCGGCTGTCAATTTTAAACTTCTTTCCAGGTCAAAACATGAAAACACAGCTAAACATGGTGTAATCTCCCATTGGGAGGGTGGGAATACTAATTTTGGTCATGTCTATCAATTAACAAGATTAAAGGTTTGTAGAAACCCTTTCAGAAGTCCCACCTGAGAGCAACTGTGCGTTGTAATGTAGCAAGATTCTTTCTTTAAAAACATTAAAATAAGAAGTGGGACACAGATCTGGTACTTGACGACCATAAAACTGGCGAGGGGTTTCTTCAAGAGAATCACAAGCTTTGGTTTTGGCACAAACAGGATGGTCGTTCACAGTACACTGGAGATCAGGATCATCCTGAGCCCTATGCACTGGATCATTCCGATCAGATGTTGAAGATGCCGTTCTGATGTACAAAATGCAAGGTGGACTAAGGGATAAGCTTGGACCATCTGGATTAAAGAGTTTAGCCTAAATTATCCAGCCAGACAGTTTTGAATCCTCACCCTAACGTACTGTCATTTCTTAACATCTCCACAGGTCTTTGGCACATCTGACAGAATCCCACAGTGTAAGAACAGAACCCATTCTGTAGCGGACACAGACCTTGATTATCTAAAACATGCCGGAACAAGAACACATCTGTTTTGTCTTTCACTGGCAGAAGATCACCTGCACCTTCATTAGTAGGGACGAGTTTTAGTTGCAGTGCTTTTCAACTTCAAACCCAGTAAAGCACTATAAATCCATGGTTTAGCTTCTTAAATTTTCTCCCAATTATTAGGATTTTTTGGTTACTAGTATTACACAACAATGCCTCGATGCCTTTTGATCTTGGCTCACAGAACATGTTTCAAACATTCTTATTTTACATTTACATTAAAATGCAAAGGTGAAGTCAATGTACCAATCTGCCAGTTACACTATTCAATCTTTTATAACACTTGACTGCATTGTTTTTTTGTATGATAATTTAGTCAAACATCATCTGATCAAACAGCAGGCAACTGAGAATCTTATTCTGATATATGAACTGCTGGCTGTATAAATTTAGTTAATAGAATTATTTTAGTCACACACTGGCCATGTTCGAATCTGTGACCCACAGCTTCGCATGCATTGTTAGTATTTAATTTCATAGTGTCGATTAATCAATACATTAATGTTCCTGAAAAATTAACAATTAACATTTCTCCAGCCTTAAATTAGTTTGGGGAAAAAAAATCGGAAAGATCTGTAGGTCCCATGGAAACAGGGCTGGCGAAACACTGGTTTAGCGATGCTGCCCTGAGGGGAGACAGCACAGAAGAAAACAGCATGGAAAAGGGCTCTCACCCAGCTAGAGGTAACTGGTCTGTCTCCGTGAGCCAAACCAAATAACTGGAATAAGCAAAACTTAAACAAAGGTGCAAAAGCCAAGACATTTTTCAGTTTCCCTGATGGTCCCCAGCTTGAACATACATTGATCTCAATACACGAACGTAAAACAACAGAACTCAGTCTTTCATGGAATGTGAATCCGGTATTTGCGTCCCTAATGCTTAGCCAGGGCTAGAATTCAGCACTTGACAATAAGGATCTATAACAACACGAATCTACAATCCACCCCTTGTATCGGGTTTAAAGATGGACAGCCAGCAAAACGAATTAAAGACACAGGAGTGCCATATAAATTGTTTCTGTCGTCTTTGGTCACTTTTTTCGAATGGAAAACTGGAAAACAATGACGTCCAGCCTAAAGGCTGAGGTGAAAATGAGGTTAGAAAAGCCCTGAAGTGTAACATACAAAGACAGCAATTAAAAGAAACTTTCTTCTCACAATAACCAGAAACTTTGCATAACAGCACTGAAGACCATGAGTTTCCCTGAAATAAAAAAAACTCATACATTCCTCACAATTAATAAAAATGCTATCAACATAGAAAAGATTTATTTTTGATATATCATTTTAGTGTCATTATGCTCCAAGATTAAAAAAAATATTTGCATATTATTATATAAGGTTATATTACAAGAGTGGAAGGTTTTACAGACTTGGAAATTGTCTTATGAAACAAAAAAATAAAACATACTGATCCCAGGTATAGGCTGTGTTTTGTTTTGGAATGCCTGCCAAACAAGCAGACGTTAGACCCCTTTAAATCTCTACTAGCGCCTACAATTCGTGACAGAAGAGAAGTGGATGAACTTGAACAGCTTCTAATCCAACACCTGTCCTTGTACAGCTGAAGTGGTCTAACGAGTACAAGAGACTTGAAAAAGAAAACTTTCACTAAAACTTATCACTCAGTTTTGTGACTTCCTGTGGCCACCAAAAATGTCTTTCATTGTGCTGAGGGCTGACTTACAAAAGGACTGAATGTACCCCTGGTGAAAAAACAAAACAGTCTCTGCAGGTAATATCCATACCTTTGCCTAACATTGGGTTCAATGGATCTGGCCAGTGGCAGAGTGCAATATCACTTCTTCCATATGAACATCAGAAAAATAGCACTGCTTACCACTGTAATTTTCCTTTAACTCTGGGTCAATACTGTGACGCAGCAGCTGTTAGAGGGGACAAACCCACTGTCGACCTGACAGACAAATCAACAATTGGTCAATCCTGTTAGTCAGACCTGGACCAATGTCAGTGTGTCTAAGCACTACAGCAAAGTTCACAAGCCTCATTGATGCAATCTACCCATTACATTAAAGACAAGTGAAATGTATAAGGAAACTGTGCCTGCAGTCAAAACCACATAGATCTGGTTACGTCACATTGGCCTCTGAAGCCCGATAATTATCCACACCAGTTTCCCAGTCTAGGATTGTATTTAGATTTGATTATCTTCATCCAGGAGACACATGCATGTTCAATGCACTTTGTACTGTTGTTCTCATGCAAATCCCATAAATAGCAAATGTTTTCCTAGAAGCAGAAGGACCTTGGGTCTCTCCTGCACTTCTCAGAGAACAAGAATTGCATAAACGAAAGGTTAAGTACAGTTAAAAGAAAAATCCTGACTAGGATTAGCCCTTGAATGGTCACACATCAGTGTTCTGTGAAACACACCTGAAATAACACTGATGATCTAGGATATAATTCAAATGAAAAAGCCACCTTTTTTTTTGCCTTTTTGTTTTCTTGATTTTCCTTCGGGCACTTTGTTTCTTCCAGGGTTGGAAAGGTACATGGACAGATAACTGCTTTACCTTTTCCCTAGTTAAAGATGCTAGAAATCAAACTTGCAGTTTCGCAGATTACCAGCCATCGACCAAACATTACTCCAGGGAGCAGGATTCACTCCACATTCATTCCAGCTGATCAACTAACCTCACAAACGCCCTCCACCGTGAAATGCAAAACCTGCTTAAGACCTCGATGAATTTCACCAAAGGGATACAACAGATGAAGACAAGAATTCCGAACTCCAGGAACTCCTACTGCTCGGGCATTTGAGAGCATTGGGCTTCTCGGAATGGCACTGAACCAGGCAGAAACCTCGCCTCACCAGACATGCAAAATATCTTTCGGCTACACTTCATCTGGGACACCTTTTCTAAAAGTGTGGGGGGTGGGGGGGAACTTTGTCACAAAAGCAAAATATCTAAATCTGAAGAGGGACTTGACAGGCATTTCTGTGCACCTCACCTATAAACACTGTGAATAAATCAATATTTGTGAATAAAGCCCCTTTATGTGTTAAAACCCCATCTTCCATTCATCCATTTTCTAATAGCTTTATCCAATACAGGGTCGTTGTACTGGATAAACCCAAATGATTCCACTCAGTGCTGCCGACTAGATCTTTGCTGTTACTGACCCGTCTGTTTTTGCTGGTATTGCAGCCAATGTTTAAGACTGATGAACAGTGCATGAAGTTTGGTCACGTGAGCTTCAGAGCTCTGTGCAAACATTAGATTCACCTGTTTCAAAATGACAGGCTTAAAGTGGAAAAGGTGCATATCTCGTGCAGCTGATCTACATTTTGCACTCACCTCTGGAAAGCAGTATGTTGTCTGCCCTGAAGAGAACAGGCTTTAAGTAATCAGTCCTATGTGTGCTTATCTTAAGCAATATTCACTGCTGCTTTTTAGGACCTTGGTGCACAAGGCATTTTTAGAAGCGAATGTTCAATTAAGAATTGCAAGATCGACGCCAAAAATCCAGTCCTAAAAAGCGATACAGAAATCACCTGCTTCAATTTTTTTTTCCTGCTCCTTGTGGGATTTGCTTGCTGCTTCATAATTTCAGAGAGGATCCACTTCAACAGCCCCACTTTCCATTTCCAGGAGGTTCAGACATGTTTGAGCTATCAATGCGGTTACTGGAATGTGCCCTCTAGGGTTGTTCTTCTATAACAGAAGGCTGCCCCCTCTAGTGTTCGCCACAAAAACCTGCCTTTGCCACCAAGCCTCCCTGCTCCCCTGTACACTACAGAGGAAATTCCCCCAATAAGCTACAGAACCACATTTATCAATGACCACTGGGCTGCACTGGCAAATATTCAGATGAACATTTTAGAAAAACCCTTCCCGTCTTGGTATCTTACGCAAAAAGAGCTGCAATGTAAACAGGACTCATCCTCTACTTGCTTTCACGTCTCTTGCAGGCTTGCAGGTACTCTGTTCTCACACCACCACTGAGTATCTTAATGCTTTTAAAAGAGGAGAGATTTCTATACAGTGCAGCAGCAGTATCAGAGTCTTCCAGAAGCACAGAAATGGAGGTAGAGGAGTAATTACTTAGCTTCTGCTTCAAATGTCATAAAAACCGAAGAGTTTGGGAGAGCTTAAAGGATTAAGTGCCATATTAGGAAAACAAAATGAACGTTTTAGCTGTTATGTTTTAGAATGATTAGCTCTGGGGGGCTGTATTTCGTCATTAAAACCCATGCTGAGTGAGAGGTTACTGTTCTGCAGTGTAGGTGGAGCACGTGACGGCCCTTCTGATTGGCTTCTGCTGTACATCTGCATGGGGTTTTCGGGGTTTCCCCATGCTTAACCATCATCCTTTAACATACTTTTATTTTCTCAATGCTTTAACTTATTTCCCAGGGGCTTTGCTACACTCTACAGTGGCGTTTCCATGGCAGACCACAGCAAAGCTTTAGAAGGGTTATAAGAGGGTAAACCTCTCGCTCACTCGCCCTGCTGCAGAGCTCACAGCCCGCACCACATCCGGGATCGACACGCCATGAACTAACTTTTGCACTCGGCAGGTCTCGACCTAAAACAGCCCCAGTTTCTCAAGTCCAACTGGGTCAGAGCAGCAAACAGGAACAGGCATGCCACGTCCCTCAGAACATTTGCAAGGGTTATAGCGCACTGATCCGTTTGTGTCTGCGTTCAATTCGCATTCTGTTACCCAACCCGAACTTTAGGAGATAAGGCTTGCTTATTAATGTCCTCCCCTTCCGTCAGAAGCAAATCCGAGCAGCACCTACTACAGCAGAAAATGTCCGGAAACCCCTTTCAGACCTTGGCAATTCCTGAAGTTACCTAAACTGCGTAACAGCTGGGGACATGTTTGCAGCTCAGGACTAAGAGAGAGAGAGTCTAGGTGGAATGGGTCATGTAAGACAAAATCTTAGGGAAAAGCAGGGAGGGAGGAGGGAAAAGGGAAAATCTCCCATGTGCAATAAGGGCCAGTCGGTGTATCCTGCACCTAGCTCCTAACTCTGGGGATGATCCTCACAGTGATGGCCAATAGCCCTTGGGTCATTTCCAAGAAAAGGTCCTCTTGCCTGTGTTGGGAGTGCTGCTACAGGTACGTGTCCAGCTCAGTGCTGCTCAGGCTCTGATTGTCCTGCTGGGAGGACTCTGGCTCTGGCTGCAGGGGTGCGTCTGCCGGGAGTGATGGGGGGACACTTGGAATGGGGTAGGGGTTGGCGACCTCCTTCTTGGAGCCTGGGGCCTTCTTCAGGCTGCCCCTCCGGCCTTTGTCCTTCTTCTTCTCATCCTTGGCGGGTGGCGCATTGGGGGGGGGCGGCTCCACGACGATGGTGGGATTCTGCCGGAGGTCCTGGCGTGTGTGGGGCTCGGCAGTTATGATCGCCCGAGCCCCGTGCATTCTGGGAGGGGACTTGTAGTGCAGGTCGCCGTGCGTCTCCTTCCAGCGTTTCAGCTGCACGTGGTGCTCCTTCTCGATGTCGCGCTCCGACACGGGCAGCTCCAGGATCTGAGAGAGGTGCGGGGCAGGAAGGGACACTGTTAATGACAGGCATGACAGGGTCATCAGAAGGACCACGGTGCATTGTGGGGAAATTTCTTTCCAATCTTATTTCAGTAACTTAGACCAATGGACCTTTAAGACCTATGGTGAAAACAGCACCCAAGCACAAATGGAAACCTGGAGAGCTCACATGAGATAAAGTCCAGCCTCTGGCACATCAGTGGTGACAGAATGTTCTCTTGATCAGTTGGTTATATCTGTTCATTTCAATATTTTCTAAAGGCGTAACATTCAGTAGGTTAAAGCACCTAAAGCATTTTGAGTGGAGTGTCCAGAAAAGCGCTATATAAGTGTAAGCAATTATTATTATTATTGTTGTTTTTAAAATGATGCCAAAATATTTAATATTTAAAATTTGTCTGTCTTTATAAGAAATATCCATGCAGAGAGAGTTGACCTTTTTGATTACCTTGTTATCAAAATATTAGAGATTCTCATTGACTAACAATTTGACATTTTCTGTATAAACAAGGAAAAAAAGCAGATTGGTCTGATGCGGTGCCTGTCGCCAACAAGAGAGCCAGACCAGTGGCGGGGTATCCAATGCAAACCACACGTGATCTGACCTGATCCAGCTGAACATGGCTGAGCCAGTAGAGGGCAGCAAAGTCTTAGAAGAGGAAAACAAAACTGATGGATAATAAACAGTATCCTAGAAGTGAACATAACTTTTGAATTTACTCTGTGCACATCCAGCCTGAACTGTCTAAGTGAAATTCACAGTTTTTGAAAATGTTTTTCATGTACAGTATTTGTTCCAAGTTATTTTAAGAGGACATAAAGAATTGGGAATGCTGAGACCCCTGAGTGATAACGGCCGTACTGAAAGAACGTGTGTTCGGCCAGAACAGAGTGGTGCTGTATTGCGATTATACTGTACCTCTCGAATGAGGAAACCCTCCAGCATGTATTTGGGATCCACTGCTCTGAGCAGCTCCATGGTCTCATACTGGCCCTGACAAGCCTTCAGCTTCTCCTGAGTACCCAGCATGCACTTGAGGAGGACCAGGCCCACTCGGAATATGATCTTCACCCCTGCGTGTTGGAAGACATTGAAATACTGTTTATAGGCCTTCCCATTTTCATTGCCTTCTTGTCCAGTTTTCAAACATCTGAACGGATCTGCATGCTTTCTATGCATGCAGATCCTTCCTTCCTGCTTCCAATCTGAAATCGTTAGATGAGCTCAGGTCGACACAAGGATTCCTGTATCAGCATGGGAGAAACAAGGAAAGTGAATGCTTTCTTTGAATGTGCTCAGTAGGTTTCGTGTTGTGTGTCACAGTGTTACATGGAAACCAACACTAACTGGAAGAGCAGTGCATCTCTTACTGATGATACAGCAGTCCCTGTAGAATTCCCAGGCCCAGCAAGCCCTGATGATGGGCTACAGTCACTAGTCTAATGATGCAACAAAGACTCAAACCCACAACTTCCAGACAACCGGACACAAAACATGCTCAGAGTCAGCGCCTTTAGTGTTCGATCTGCATGAGAACCCCACATGCTGAGTGATAATCTGTATTTTTCTGATCTCCTTAAATGTCTTAGCCTTCGTGTTCCCCTAGTTATTATCCTGACCTGTAGGACTCTCCAACTTCATTGCTTTCTCCAAATGTGCTACTGATGCGAAACCAGATGACTGAGGCTCATTCCCATAGCAGACCTGAAGAAACACTCAGTGCTGTGAATACCGGAGAGGTTCAGTCCAGGGCCCGACTCACCTTCGCAGAAGAACATGTCCCAGACGCGCAGGACGGACGCCCAGGGCAGGGTGCGAGAGAAGGCGCACATGAACCACTCGGTCATGTACAGGATGGGGTCGATCTTGTGCTTCTTCAGGTGTTTGTGAGCCGCTGGGGAGACGCGGCGCAGCAGAGCGAACAGGATCTCGCCATCCAGCTGGATCGCCTCCTGTTAACCCCAACAGGCACAGCTGTGACAGAGCACCGGCAACCTCACTCTCAGACACTGTAGAGCCTTCCAGTCCAGAGACCGGCCGAGGCTCTCGACACGAATTCATAACAGACTTCAACAGAACGTGCATTTTTAATATGGGCAGGAAGAGCATTCCAATGAGGAGGGGCTGCCGCTGAACAGGCATAGCCCCCTAATGTATAATGTTTCTACATGATGAAGAAACCTAGAGCCAGCTAGAAGACGTAAGAGAATGAGGACGTGAGGGGATAGTAACTCTTGTTGGTACACTGGAGACAGACCATGCCACGCCTGATTGGTCAAGTCTATCTTTCAAGAGACATGTACCTAGTGCACAGGATCAGTGCATATCACTCAGTGTACATACCCCAGCCTAACATTTCGCACCAGGATGAGATTCCAATGTGCCAAATTCTTGTTTTTCAACATTAAGAAAAATATTCAAGAGCTCAGCAGTAATAGGGACTTTCCAAACTTAACCGCCTTTTGGGAAAGACTTCAAATCAAATGAGATTTTTATGGACAGATATTTGCCAGCAGCATCTCCTGCTGTGAAGTACAGCAAAAACTCCAGATGTTTTGGGTGTAACTGTAGTTTGGGGCACTCGATTGAAAGGATGGCTGAAACTGCCCCCATACTAAGGACTGGTAAGTGTGAAACTCAGTCTAATGGAGCAGGAATCAAGATCTGCATTTCCATTTCCCTAGAAATCTAAATGACTGCCTGAGGTTACTGTACCTTAGTCAGGTGGGATTTCAGCACTGACAAAAATATAAGGTAGCTCACAGCTACGATCATGAAAGGCAGCCATTGAAAGAGGAACTGTCATTATATATTTAATACAGGAAAATTTCAAACAGTCTTTGTTAATGATTAGTAATGTATGAAAGAAGTCTTTGTGTTGCATTGCCATTTCTGTTGGATTCCTGAAGCCGACAGTCTTTTATCTGGTCATGCAAGAAGAAACACTGATGCTTTGCGGGCCCACAAGCTTTAACTTTGCCTTCCAGCGGTTTAAAACCTGGAGCACCTTGCTGACCTAGCTACAGGCTGCACTGGAGGTCAGATTCTCTGACTCGAGCCCACTGCTGCAATATGAGTGATTGGCACAGCCCACTTTTTACTACAGTTCCATTCATTCTGAACAGAAGAAAACCCACAAAGCAGGCTGTGCCCAAAACGTGTGTCGAACAAGACTGGCAAGGCTGGAATTCGGCTGCTCTCGGCGCCTCTAAGCAGTTACTTCAAGACTGAGAATCTTTCTGAAAGAGGCACTCTGCTGCCAGAGGTGAATTAAAACAATACAGTCCAGAGGCTGTGGCTTGGACTTCCTCTTCTGACTGAAATGGACAGTATTCAGGATTCCCAGGCTCTAGTGAGAGCAGTCAGTCACTTAGTGACTGCTTTGCCATCATCACTCTCCACTCTCTTATAAGGGAGCAAACAAAACTGAAACCGCTCTACTGCGTGTTACAGGACTTTTTTCTTATCCTTGGACAGAGTTGAACAGCTGGGGAGATGCTTTCATCTGTTAGAAAGGGCTTCCGGGGGGGACAGGCCACGCTCCGTGGAGTCCCTGGCCACAATCGAGGCTCAGTCGTCTGCATTTCTGCACAGCGCCGGCTCGCTCACCCCCCCGCACACTTGTGGCAATAGCTCCATTGTTGCTCCCTGGTGGGGGGGCTCAATTACACCAGCACGCTGGGAGTCAGTCGTTCCGTGTCTTCACCTCCAGCCGCTAACTGGAAAAGGCCAGTAATCCACAGACAGACTGGCCATTATTCAGAGCCACTCCAGCACATTAGTGTTCGTGTGTGGAGACACTGAGCATTTGGCTCACCCTGTCTCTTCTTACAGAAAGGCTGGTGGGCTGGATTTTTAAATTTATTGGCACCCTATTCTTTATTCATTCATGTATTACAGGAAATTCATTCATCTGAGGGGAGGGGGTTCCATATATTCAACATTATTAAAGCCTTGTTGACTGATGGCTTTAATCTAATCGGGATACCTGCTAACTCAACCAAGGATCTTTCCTCAGTTACACCACCCACAAGATCCACCCAGGTCACTCTAATGACAAATCTGAAGCTCCTGAAGGTAGACATCAATCTTAATTACATGAAAACACAAACTAGCGGTCAACAACCTTCTGATATCCCCCATTATTACATCTCTTATTCAACATGGTCATGCGTACAAATCACTTGTGCTTTCTGCTTGCCTTTTGTTCAGTGCAACTACGTCAGGACAGCAGATGTTGTTCCAACGTTCAGTAGTTAGATGACATGTAAATTACTGTGGATCTAAGTGCTGAGTTTTGACCGACTGAAAAGTTACACTCAGAAAGAAATAAGGAATGTGAATGGTCTCTTTCAACATGCTCAATAGTTAATGCATGGTGTCAGGAGATTTATTTGGGAATCAATGGTGACTGGAAGAGCAATGTATCTGTTACCCATGATACTTTAGTCCCTCTGGTGCTTAGCAAATCCCAGGATTCAGATTCACTACAGGACAGGAAGACCTGGGCATCTCAAGCCCAGCCAGCCCTGATGATGCTCAGACGTGTGGACATCATGGGTTGGGAAGCTCCAGCCACAGTACAGGCATAAGCCCATGATTTCCAGATTGCTAAGAGTTGGCAACTTTAGCATTTGATCCACATTATAACCCTTCACGCTGCTGGATAGTGTTTGAAACTTAATAGTAAAGAGACTTGTGCATTAAACAAAAACATGCTAGAGATGAATACTCCACTCTGATCACTGTAGGTCCATTGTATAGAGTGTGAACTGGGCCCTTTTTGGTTTGTCCGATTAGCTGTGAAGTTCACATGAGACCAGGGTTCAAACTTACCAGCCCGGCACTGTAGTATCCAGGAAGGTACTTTTCACAGATCTGCACTAAGCCCCAGAATGCATCCTGTTAAATGAAACCAAAAAAAGAAAAGGAAAACAGTTGTATTTATAAAGTGTCTATAGCAGACAAAGGCTACTAATGCCTTCCGCAGTCCCACTCTGTAGATCAACCCAATGATATGCATATGATCTGCAGCCAGGTTGAAGAATTTTTGTTCAATAGACATTACATGCTCAATTGTGTATCGCTACAGAAAATTTGTGTGGCAGCTGACAAAACTCTCATTTTCTGGGAGTAATGAAGGCTTCATACCAAACAAAGCACACATCTAATTCCCTGGGTGACCTGCCCCACACATGCACACCGGATACAGAACACCCCTTTGCTCTTGACAGAGAGCCAAGCTGTGCGAAGGTCACGAGCGAACGATGCCGTCAGGGAAGCACGGCGCTCACCTCGGCCGGCATGTGCATGAGGAGGACCGCAGCGATGGGCGCCTGGGCCTGGCAGTACCCCTCCTCGGGCCGGTACAGGGTGTAGGCCTTCAGCACGCGGAACAGGTCCTGCTGCCTGCACACACACACACATCAACACAGCGCTCACAACTGCACCATACCAGTAACACCCACCCGCCACTGCAATGGAAGTCTAAACCTGGAAAATCCCCCTGGCCTGATAGAGCCTTGCGCTCCAAGGAGGACCACCAACACAAGGCCCCCCAGAACAAAGCTCAGACCTAACCTTGTATCTGAAATAAAGCTGCTCACTAATTTACAAAGTGTCAAATTCTCAAACCCTAGCTCTGTCAATCATTTCCCTTCTAAGTCTACGGAACAACCCATAAGTCATTACAGAGTACATTTCTAATGGATTTTAGATATTACATGCCAATGCTGTGTTTTTCTGCAAATGAATTGTCAGACAAATTATATAAATGACACTTGTGTGAAACTCCCCTCACTTGGCTCTAATCTACCTGAGACACTTGACAAGGGCAACAGAGTACTGGAGGGTACGGACTCTCACGAGACTCCAGGGCTAACAATGGTTTCGGCGCTCCTAGCACAGTTAGTTGAGCAGTAGCCCTCAGTGACACTCACCCATGACCCCCTCGTGCCACAAACATCTCGTGGAAGGGGAACTGCCTGTGCAGGTCCTTCTCGATCACATCCAGCCATTTGGGGTCTCCTGGCTGGCTGTCCAATTCCTGCAAGCAAGTGCACACCCCATGTTCATCCCAGTGCACCACACTGCCCCCTACTGGTACATCATATTTCTCCTTTCTGTGTCTATTACCTTTAAATAGCCACGAGGATCGGTTTGCTGTTGTTCCTCCTACATACAACTTATCTTGATAACTGTGGCATGAGGTGGTGGTACAAGAGTCAGGACCACTGTCCTCACACAAGCTGATAGTTCCCCTGGAACCAGCTGCAGTACTATGCCATCCTGTAAACACCTCTAGAAACCCTCCCATGATATTTTCTCATTTATTTTTTAAATAAGGGACCCCCCGTGAGGTCTCATTCTCAGCGCAGCCCTGTGACAACAGAGCACCCTCAGTGAAGCCACAGCGCTGGGCAGGACCCGCAGGGCGACACCTGGCCAGGCAGCACGGGGACATGCGATGCAGGCTCTGCCAGGAAGTCGCCCAGTGGGTTCATGGGCTCATGGGAGGTGTAGTTCCCATTAGCTAAGACGGCACCTGTAAGCTCCAGGTGGCACTGATAGTATCACAGCCAGTTTCTGTACCTGAGTCCCCATGACTGATGTTGGGCAGGTCAGGTAAACTAGTAGCTACAGCCTCTATGGGGAAGCATTAAGACTCAGTTACATAAAGGTGATAACCAAACGAACAAAAGGCTTAAAAGAGACGTCTACAACAGAAGCAGGCTCTCCACAAGGCCCCGAGGGAGACGAGAGAGGTGCTGCCGTCGTCTGACCTGGAACTTCCTCTGGTTCTGCTCCTTCTTCACCTTCCCGCCGGACAGGTAGAGCCAAGCCCGGCCTCGCAGGGAGGGAGGGATGCCCTTCTGGCAGCGGAGCTTCACCTGCAACACACAGAAACGGGGGGGCTCAAGACCGTAACGAGCTGCATTACAGGCTAGACGGAGGCCTGGGTGAGAGCATCCCAACCCCAACTAGCGAAGAAATCTAGAGAGAAACAACAATTCTGAAGAACTGTATCTTACCGTCAGATCTGCACCCAGGAGTATTTATCATCTGGACACAGGGAAGCTTTGCATGTTGTATTTTAAACAAAGACACAGTAAGTTGCAGTTGTTATGGTTTTGTCAAATGAAAACATTCAGGCTGTTAGTCAAGACTAGAACACACCCAGAGCCTTTGGAAGTACCAAAAAAAAAAAAGGTGTTGTTGCCCTCCTGGGGGAAGTGATATCATTCTTTTATGGAACACAATCCGGTTTCTCCAGCAACACGAAAGATTAAGCTGTGCTTTCTACGCTCTAGTCCTCAGCCAAAATGTTTCCATCGCCCAGATCTGGGATGGACTTCGCAAAAAGGAAAAGATGGTAAGTGGAATCCTGCCATATATTTTATTCCAGCTACCCCTCACTTTCATGAGCAGCACTGAATATCACTGCTGCACCAGTGGGACCGGTGTGCTGAAAAGGCAATTGGAGCAAAGCTGATGACTTCCATGTGCACTGCAGCAAAGCTAGTCTCAGAAAGGAGGATGGACTGATAGGACTGAAGAACTAGTTCGCAATATTAAATATGAAGACATCCCTGTGAATCCCCAAGAGTCTAACTTTGCTTCATTTCAACATCGTCCTTTAAAAGGAAGTGTTGCTGTCAAAGATTGTCACTGCAAGCAAACCTTTTATAAGCTGCTAACTCCAGTTATTCTTTTTCAAGACTTCATTTATTTGATTAATTCCTTGGTGGGGGTGGCCTGTTTTACTGGACGTGTGGCACACAGACACTCGCTGTGCTGCAGTCAGTCAGGCTGATGCCTGTGCTCTGCCGATTCAAACACGGTTCAGTTGTGTTAAAAAAACAGAAGATAATACTTTGCCAGATACATAACATACTGCAAACTAACAGCCTGGACAGTAACCGTGCCTGAATTCAAGCCAGATGAAGGCTTGGTGAGGAAACCAAACTCATTTTGAGCAAAGACTGCATGACTGAGGTCTTCAAAACCATAAGGCGGATTTGTGCCAAAGTTTTGGCCAAGTCTGGGCTCAGCACCCTGAACAAAAGACACTTCATTCCATAAATAATGATTAGAGCTCAAGTACACTGACATCCAATTCTAAAAGTCTGATCATATGAAGAAACGACTATACGAGGACAGATCGAAGACAAGTGAGCTAAAAAAGGTAACATGCTCATTTCTTCTCAATTATACAAAGTCTATATATTTCTTGCATTCTCATGAATGGCTTCCTGACACTCTATTGGTCTGAGCTTTGCAGTCCATCTGCGTTTTTGAAAGTAGCTTCAATTTTTTGGTCGAGTGGCTAACAATACAGTCAATTGTATATATAATACATGACATTGTGGACTACCTAAAAAAAAACTGCAAAAAAAGATATAATTACAGAACAATTCCAAATAACATTCCCATATTAATTCTCAGCACTTAGGGCTTCCAGACACAGAAGCGACAAGCCCTTGGACAAAGAGACTACAGAAATTACCAAGTGGTATTTGGTTTGTACATGGGATCTGTCAGCTATGACACCAGAACCAGCTTTTCGAGAAGAGGGAAGAAACAAGGCATTCAACCTTCCGCTGAGGAACTGAGATACCACAGTATGACACAAACCCAGGGGTGCCCCCTTACAATACAAAGCCTTGTTCATTAAAGTGCATTGTCAATTTTATTTCCAAAACAATCTTGTAAAGTTACAAAAGCAGCACTTTGTTAATCTGGCGGCATCAGAAATTCTTTGGACAACCATTCCAGTTGTAGGTGATATTTCTTCGATTAATGTTTAACATTTCCATTGCTGGAAACAAAAAGCAAAAACATTTAGTGACTCTGCGTCCTAATGCAACCCTGCAGCGCTCATTACAGAGTGCGGTAATGCAAGTTGAAATGTCAAACACACAAAAAAAGTAAGGAGTTGACCCTATACTTCACATTTTTTATAACTTTATAAAAGAGCGTTGCCACCCTTTGGTCTTCACCGGCTTAAATGTACACAAGGATCTGAGAACAAAGCAAGGGAACGGTTTAAGTGAGACTCGGCCTGCTCCTCAGCCAGACAGCAGGCAGGCTGGAAGCAGAGAGAGCCACAGCACTGCCTTCTCTTCTGTCAAATGGGTGGGGGGGCCCGTCGCTAAGGAAACGGTGGAAAAAAACCCAGGAAAGGAAAGGGCACGTGGCCCTGCTGACTTGAGAGATGGGCCTCAATGCAAGCCCGGTCTCCGAGAGAGCAGCAGGAGACTCCCTGCCTGGCGTGGGTCTCTGGGGCCTTGGGCCTCCCCGGGGACGCCATCACAGATCGAAAGCACGAAGCCACAGCTCTCTTGGCTCAACACGGTCACACTCCGACTGTGGCTGCACGAGGAGAACAGCAAAATAAATTCTGGCCAACCGAACTCCATCAGGTACACAATACTAAAGGGACCGAATGTTGTTCGCACCTGGAGGGTATTTTTATGCATTTCCCCAAAGTATCCAGAAGGCCCCAACAAAGCAAGTGACCATACGTGTTGTGAATACAACTTGATGGCACGGTCACATTCACGCATAACGAGCTGCAGTGCTACACCAGGAAGAACAACCTGGATTATTTACACCATCGTTCTATCAGCAAATAAATTAATTCCATGAACCGGGAATGAACAGGAGCTTGAAGCAAACCATGCGCAATGAGAAAAGGGGTTTGCACACTCCCTCACCCTTAGCTGAAGAATGAGCACAGGTTCTTCTCATTTCTCAGCACTATGACCAGTCTCCTCAGCCGAAGATGGGGATGGGTAATTGAGTGCAGATCTGGAGTTAATCTTTTTCTTGACTAGAGCAGGAAAGCAGGAAAGCACAGCGAGGTCTCCCCCACAGGGCCTGCTGCATGCTTAGAAATCCAAACACTTCTTGGCACAGTTTGCTTGTTGGCTTATGACTCAGTAATTCACATTGTGTGGATGACAACAGAGGAATGCAGGCTTGCGAGCTATAACAATGGGGTCTTCCTTATGTTTACTGGCTGTGTGTGCTCTCTTTGGGCATTTTTACCCTGGGCTTTCCAAAGCACAAAAGAAAGGCGTGTTTCTTTTACTGTTCCAACAGAACTTTCACTTGCTACACCACAGCCTAGTAATTGAGAAACACTCCCCGCGTGGAAGGAAATTTGTTTTTATGCGAGTGGATTATTGTTCAAACACACAAGTGAGTTATGCATCAGAGAACTGACTCAGGCTGGGGGTCTCCTTTAGAGCTTCTCTTCACCCTACAATGTCAAAAGTGTACTACAAGTGCAATTCCTCTAGCTGTGACATAACTTTGCAAATTAAAAGGCTTTTATACATTTGTAAATGAAGTTAGACTGATAAAGCAAGCACTCTGCATTCACACGGCTTGGCTTCAGCTCTTCCACAAAGCTGAAGATAAAGCACTAGGATTCGACAGAGTATGATCTCAAAGGAATGAACTACTCGGACAGGCTAAAAACTCAACATTTTCAGTTCTGAGCAGAGAGGTCGATGACTGTACCTGACGGGCTGGATGAGATCCTACTATTAGTGATCAACAATTAAATGAGTCAGAAGTCCCGAATTACCTCCTCTCATCTCAACACAGTTTGCATGTGCCAACAACATGGTGTGTCTATATTGCATCTACTGGAGCTGTTCTGAACTGGCTCTGTAATTCTGCCTCCTCTTTCTTCAACTGTGTATTGTCCAAATGTAACAGGGCTGTTCTCTCTCGTATCAGACATTCAATCCTCACTTTTGTCTTTGTGGAGTCTCTTTGCTTTTAACATGGCTAATGAAGTGAAAAGAAAAAAGTACTCCAGACGCTCTGAAAAAGCACTGCAATTGCTGAATTAGTTAAATGGGGGTGCGGAGTTAGGGGAGCAGGACTGATCTTGTGAAAATTAAAAGTGTCTTCCCTTTTCGCACACACCCCCAAAAAATAAATCAATAACAGCACATCAACAGCTCATTACAGAGTACGGTAATGCATGCTGAAATGTCAAAACACACACAAAAAAAGGAATGGGATGACCCTATACTTCAACTTTTTTTGTAACTTTATAAAAGAGTATTGCCACCCTTTGGTCTTCATCGGTTCAAATGTACACAAGGATTTGACACATTAAAGCAAGCTTTTTGGAAATGGTGTTTGTATGTTCTCTCCATTTTCACATGGGTTTCCTCCCATAGTCCTAAGACACACAGGTGGGTTCCTGGTCCTGGTGCGAGCGTGTGTCTGTCTGTGTGTGTCCTGCGATGGACTGTGATTCCTATGCAGGGTGTGTCCTGCCTTGTCCAGCTCCCCCACGATCATGAATTGGATAAATTGGTTAGAAAATGGACAGATGGAGACTAAAATGGAATTTAGCTTCTCCAAATGTCAGCTCTAATCAGTGCTACACCCCTCTCCGCCAAGCAAGGATTCAAGCTGCTCTTTTGTTCGGGACGCCGACGGTCAATTCAGGGAGAAAATCCAGGCGGATGGAGCTGGGAACGCCAGGAACAGCCCACTGCGACCGAGGCTCTATGGAAAAAGTGCTGAGGCCAAGTGTTTGGAGAGAGGCAGAGCACACACGCCGCCCGATTTCCTGTCCCTGGTTTCCTTGGATGCCTCCCCTCGGTCAGGCTGCTGTCCACAGACACTGAAGTGACTCGAGCTGACGCGGCTCGTTTGCGCTGCACAGCGAGCCAGGAAGGAAGGCCAATTACAGCCAGGCTTGGTGCAACGAGGCACATCAGATCCCTGTCTCCCGCTCCCTCCATGGGGAATCCGAAACAGCCCGGGAGAGCTTAACTACAGCCTGATCTAGAACAGCCCTAGACACTTCGCCCTTCAGCACGGACGCCGAGGTAGAGCAGGGCAGTTTCAAAGCAAGCGGGGCTCTTTTTAGCACTTCAGCAAGGTGCCTAAAGACAAATCATTCCATCCCCTGCACGGCCCTGTGGCTCAGGATCTGCACCTGTGGCTGGAGGGCTGCCGGCTCAAATCCCGCTGCTGGCAGAGGAATCCTTCTCCGTTGGGCCCCCGAGCAAGGCCCTTAACCCCACCTGCTCCAGGGGTGCCGTCTAAATGGCTGACCCCTGCACTCTGACCCCCAGCTTCTCTCTCTCTCTCTCTCTCTGTCTGTGTGTGTCTCATGGAGAGCAAGCTGGGGTATGTGAAAAGACAAATTCCAAATGCAAGAAATTGTATATGCCCAATAAAGTGATCTTTAGTCATTCAACAGAACTGGAGGAAGAAATTTGACCTGAAGGGTCGATACACCAAAACCTATCACATGTTTCTCCAAATACAAGTTTTATTGTTTGTGCCTAAACTTTTCCAGGAAATTTACAAAATTTTCCAAAGGTTTCCAGCTCCAAGTGTGTCTCGCTTCTTTCACACTCCAGTAAAATCCTCTCGATATCCCAGAGTTCCATAATCAAGTTCTTACAGGATTTCTCTTTGCTTTACTTGCAGTCTGCAATGCGAGTCTAATAAGGGACAGTAGCTTCCAATTCATCTCTTGCAATTACACTGAAGTTTTCATCTGGACGGACCTCAAAGGTTCTTTATATAGAAGAGAAATCCAACTTCATTCAGCTTTCTGGGTGATGGGTTTGCTATTGCGAACCAGCAACCTCAGTAGACAGACGATTAGGAGGAGACGGAGAAACTGCTTAGGAAAAAGGTAACAAGGCCAGAGTGAATGTAGCCAGGAAAACATGATTCATACCCCCATTCATACTAACAGCGCCATGTGATCCAAAGAATGGAGTTTTAGTTACTTCTAGCAAAAGATTCTTGAAAGAACAACTTTAAAAAAAGCCTGTGTATGTCTGGTCCTTTCTTTTTCTTACCTTTACACATTTCAAAATGAAGTTTTTCAAAGCATATATACAGAGCAATGGGAGCCTGTAACTTTTACGTTAAGCACGCAAACAGCGAGAAGGAATTATAGAAAAGCGCATTTTCATCATCTTCAGAGAAAGACAGACCGCACTGATATATACAAACTGGAGGCTTCTCTACATAGGACAAAAGTAGCAGTAAATCCTGACTGACACACAGTGATCCGTTACAGAAATGGGAGAAGTCAAACCCTATTAATGTTTCCCATCAAAGACCAATTAAAGTTCATGTTTCTGTTTCCTATAGCGTTTTTGTGATCTGGAATTTTACTTGAGACTCTAGTTTAGTCTTGTTAGTAAGGCTGTTCCCAATGTGTCACTGTTCTGTGGGAACTGGCATTTGTTACACAAAAGATTTACTAAGCACACCAGGTTCCAAGCATGCCCAAACTTGGTCAGGCCTTAGCTGTGTAAATGAGAAGCTGTGCAGAGGTGATGTCAGCTTCTAATATAGACTTTGGTTAAAGTTTTCTAATAAGTGAATATGTTGAAATGCCACCCACTCAGTCAGCAAGAGAACCATTGTTTGTGGGCGGGGGAAAAAATAAAAAGAGATGTGTTGCCTATACTTGTTCCCATCCAGAACGCAGGGGGAAATAAGTGTCCACAATGCACTGAAATGGGTTTCGCAGAAGAACACCTCGTAGGTCATCATGCACCTTTCAAAAACAACATGTCAGATGAAGACAGACCACAAAAACAGGGTCACTGCAAGCTCACAGGCTCCTTGCCAACCTCAGAGGTCGCTCCTGCGTGCTTGGCAGAGGATACCCTTGGCAAACAATCCCACCCATTCCCTAACAGCCACAGTCCGCTTCTGATGTAGACCACTTCCAAACCCCTGATGAAGTGAAGGCCTTCCCCCCGTGCTGGCACGACATGGCACACATGACCCTGCTGGGCCACCACGCCCCCAGTACATGGTGGGGAGGTGCTGTAGGTTCTCACCTTCTTGTGCCTCTTGGCCATCCACTTGTCCCAGTTGTTCAGCATGTCCAACCACTTGGCCTCTCTCTGTCTCAGCACCTCGGGAGGGACTTCCTGCTCTCTGAAAGAGGAAGAAAAGAAACCTGAAACACAATCCCTTTCATTTTTTTCCCCCCAGATCAGCCTCTAAAATGCTGAGCCCCCACACCACAAAGAGTTTTCAGTTTTCAAACAGTATAGATGGATTTCCATACCCTTGTTGAAGAAATCCTTCTCAATAAATCAAAAGAGACTTGATACTTCATAATGATCGCTAGGCTATCCAGACATATTGTACATTTTTAAACTGAACAACATCTACACATAACTACAGTTTTGGGAAATGATCCTACTGTAACAACGTTAATGCTTTTCAGTATTATGTCACTGGCACCTAGATTGCACTTAATGAGGACTTCCTATTTAAGTGGACTGCATAAAGAGCTTCTAAAACAGCTTCAAAGGGCAGTAAAGACTCTGTGATGTCATTTTCAACTGCATTGTTCCATAAAGGTCTCTGCTTTATGTTTACATTATCTTTGTCATCCCCATGATTCAGTCATGAAATAACAGGGCCAGCTTTCTGTCAGCAGGACAGTTTTACAGCTGTATGTCAGATTGCAGTTTTAAGGGAAGATCAGTGAGAAAGCAGACGAAGTAGAACACTCATCTCCAGAACTTCCTTGTATCATATCCGGAGGAGTTACAAATCCTCATGAGGTTTGCCCATACTATGTAAATACTGTACATACACAGTACAATATTGTATTGGACGTAGTGTATAAAAACAAAATTAAGGAGGCCCTACGTATGCATGGAAACTTTCAAGGTTTTTAAGGGATTTTTTATGCAAGTTTTTTTTTCAGTTTAAAAAAAGTCCCATCATGGCAACAAGCAGCTTGTACTGGGAGGGACAGTACTGTACTAACAATTTGTAGCTTACAGTAACTGCAGCCAAGCCAAGTGTGTAAGCACTGGCAACTCCCTTTGTGTCTGCTACGGGCCTTGACTGCAGGTCTGGGCTATAACAGCAGGATTTGCTCAGCCCAGGCTCTCATTAAATGGTGCCAAGTTGCACAAGCACTGTAATTTTCAGAAGACAGGCCAATGCACTGCAAGTCTCCACCTTAAAACAGGGTTTCTGTATCCTTAATTGGTGGGACTTCAGCTAGAATTGGAAACTGAATGCACTGGAAGTTTTAACTTTCTTAAATTTGATCAATTCAGTGTTATTTTGTAGTCTTAATGTGTAGGAGATTTCAAATCAGAAAAGCTCTAGCGGACCAGACTTTGCTAGCCTGGGTGTGGAGTATGTCAAACTGACTGACTACAGCTCCTTGACTGGAGGCACAAAACTGGTTCGAGAGGCCAGCAAGATGCACTTGGCTAAGATTCCTGTAAGGCACCGTGTGTGAAAGATGAATATGGCTCTGGTAGGTGGGTGTGACTAAACATCGTGTTCAAAGGGATTTTACATTGCTTGCCTCCTCCCGTTCGTTCTCATGCTCCAGAGAACACAAAAGCAGAAAATAAGCAGTCATTTGATAAATTGGGCTGTCTTAACCACATGTATCAATTTCACTTGTTCACCACTAACGTACGTGAAAGATGTTTAAATTCCACACTGCACTAACAACAAGGGGCTATTCTGGTCCTTCTGCAACTGATTATTTGTAAGATATTTTCACATCAACTCAGCCACTAGACACTTAATACTTAAAACACAAAAAATCTAATATACTTGTGCTCCAGCCTCTTCCAAGAAAAATCAGCAAGCTGTTAAGAGTCACACGCCAACACACACAGTACGTAAAACTGCTTCTTTAAAACTGACAAGACAACAGTAAATTTTGCTGGGTCGGCGGACGGCAGAGAGGAAGTCCTGGCTCTGAAACAGGATGTTGTTCTGGAGGCTGAGAAATACAAGCTGTTTCCTCCAGTGCCACCCTCAGTCTCTACAGAGCGGTCAGCCGGATCACTGACTGCTGGCCTGTTTGGAAAACAACACCTCATCTTCTGACTAGCAGAACAGCAGCTTAGCTTGTTAACTGAAAAAAAAATGAAGTTGGCCAATAACATTTTCCCCACCAGATTCACTCAGCAAATGCAGCGCCTGTAACCTATTGCTTGACAGAAAAGGGAGGGGACTAAATTAATTCTGTCTCTGTTTTGACAAATCGGGGATGAGTATATTCTGCAACAAGCAGTTTATCAAGCCTGAGTGAGACCGTGACTTGGAACATGCAAAAAGAGGAGGAGACTGTTCTATCTCAGAGCGCCTTGACACCGATATCTGTGAAAGAGTTTGTCACTGTTCCTCAGGGGACTACAGCGTGATGCACAAAGGAGTCCTGCAGCAATAAGATAAAGTCCAGGCAAGAAGCAAGCAACGAAAGAGAGGAGTTAAAAAAAACCTCCGGGGGAGAAGAGAATGAAGTCAAGAACTAAAGTGACCTTTTCATTAGAGCAAGCGGCTCTGATCTGGCAATAACAAAAGGCCACTAGTGATCGTTCATTAACTTTTTTATACAGGACCTGTATGTGGGGTACTTTACCTCAAACTAATTTACAAATAATTATCTAAATCACACATTTCCAGCATTTATTTTACTGGATCTTTGACAGACTTCTGGAAATTGTATGTTTAATACTTTCTGTACAGTACAGTTTGAAAGGTATAGCCTAACACTTCCTCATTCTGCTCCCGTGTGCAATGATGAGGTTTATACTGGTGACCTGAGACATGAAACACAACATGGGCTATTCCACATGAACAAGGCATAAAATTAACAAGCAGTTATTATTATTATTGCAAGCAGTTTAAAACATAAAAAATTAAATGAGCATATTTGAAGAATGGATGTAGAATGCAAAATATAGCTCATCTAATGCTAATTCAATTCTATCAGAAGGCTTAACAAAATTAAGAGAGATTATGGCCAGCAATGTATACCCGTGAGCTTTTCTAATCAGCACTGGAATGGGCCACATTACAACTTAACAGTCCATGACAAGAAACCCGAGACAAACCTGTCATACCTGTTTGGTATATATATATGAATGAAATATGAATTTCTACCAGTATGTGCAATTCCGACCAGTAATCAGTTACAAATTTGACTGTTTTGCTGGGTAATATGAACCCATTAGAATAATAAGGACCTGGAAATGCTAGGCTGGAATGGCAAATGTGACTGTAAAAGAACAAACTGTTCTTTTAGTCCTTGTTGACAATACAGAACATATTTTTTTCAATGAAGGGTCGGATATCATGACTTTGTTATAAAGTCGATCTTGGAAAATTAATATGACCAAACCTTTCATTTATTATTCCCCATGTCCTTGTCCTAGATTTTTCATAATAGTATTTCATGATTGTTCTGTAGAGGTTATGGAGAATTTTAAATAAACATTCAGAGGTTCAGTTACACTGAGAATATAGATTATGTTTTTATTTAAGCAAATCAGAGGCTGTTTTTAATCTGAAGGCCAAAACCAAAATGTCCTAGAGATGTCCTCCTACTCTTAACAAGGCTTTTATCTTTGCATTTAATATGACAGTGTCGTACGGACATCGGGGGGTGAAGGGTAGAATCAAACTGTTCTAGGATTGCGAGACGCTCTTCCACTGTCCTCTGTTTGTAGTCTTCCCATCAGGCAGAGAGTTTATGGTGCCAAAGTCAAGCAAAGGCATTTAGAAAAAAGTCCTTTGGCCCCTGTGCAATAAAACTGCTTAATGAAGGTATTTAAATAGTAGTTTAACTACCACTTCCAGTTATTTACTTATCTGGCATCTACCATTGTTATGATTTAATGCACCTGTATGTGATTTTTATGTTTGGCTTGGTGTGTTCAATGTTTCATTTTCTTCTTATGGGAGGAGACAGACACAAATGTCCACAGTTAATAAAGTATCCATCCATAATTCTGAGAAAGGCTTTAAGCCACCGGCTTTTGAAATAATGGCCTATAATGGCCAACTCTGATTAGGCCCTCATCTGATTCTTTGTCTCAGTGTTGTCTTGTAGAACATTCATTATGGCCATTAGACTTTGGGGAGTTTTCCTGTAAGCGATGTTTTGGCTTCCTCCTGGCGATCTCCAGAGATATATAAATAGAAGAGAGTCACGCTTACCCACATGTTCAGATGAAAGCCACAATGCTGTCCACATTAAGGGCAACAATAATAAAAGAAAACCGACTAAACCCAATGAAAAAAAGTATTGAGTTTACACTATGGTGCTACTAAGGATTGAATTAAAAAGGTTTAATAGTAATTTTCTTTAGGCTTTCAAGCTTTTGAGTTAAAGGCTTATAGTGACTTTCCAGTATTCCTGATATCCAGCTTCATCCTCATTATGCATTTGTATTTTCCGTCAGATACAGATTCATACTACTCTGCAGTGTTTAAGTTTCCCCCAAGCCGACTGCCTTCCACATGTGACTGAGAACTGAACCGAGCCCCTGTCGAGATCCTGCCGAAATGAACGCGCTCGGAGACAAGGCTGCACACAGCCAAGCAACCCCCAGCTGTACCAGACAACTACACAAGTCCAGGCGTCTGGAGGGAAAAGGTCACAGAAATGTAGAAGGAAACTCTACAAATGCAGCCAGTACAGAAAGAAACGCTACAATCATCCTCTTATAGTGTTCATCTCCCCTTCTCTCCCTTTCATATAGCTCACTGATCATGTTCAAAATGTCAGATATCCATATCAGTTCCATGAGGAGCTTTCACCACTCGGTGTTCTGTCACATTAAAACAAATCACCTGTTTTTCCACAACACAGCTACAAAACAAGGCTCAGAGGTATGGCGTTCCCTCTTCCTCCCTATGGTGCATTCCGAGGAGCTCCTCAAGAGAGTACAGGGCCAACGCACACTTTAATCATGACTAATAGCTGAAATACAGGGCAAGTTCATAGTTTATGGAGCCTCATTCTACTCCGTTATCGTGAGAGATCCTACCGCAAGTCACCCCTCAGTATTTTCTCCCAGATGATGAGGAATGTAATGACGGTTGATATCATTATCTCCATGTACTACAGTCACTGCCGGTTGACAAGCTGATGAACTGCTGCG